TATAATATTAATATTATTAATATTATTATATTATTATTATTATTATATTATTATTATTATTATTATTATTATTATTATTATTATTATTATTATTATTATTATTATTATTTATTATTATTATTATATTATTATTAATTATTATTATTATTATTATTATTATATTATTATTATTATTATTATTATTATTATTATTATTATTATTATTATTATTATTATTATTATTATTATTATTATTATTATTATTATTATTATTATTATTATTATTATTATGTTAAATTACATTTTGATTTTTCTATTTTATGTTGGTCACGAAATCAGTCTTTCTATTTTATTTTTATCGAGTTTTGGTTCTTCATCTTCAATTTTAATCTAAAAAATGCTTAAGTGTTTTTTTTTTTTTTTGTAATACATGGGTTTTTTTTTTAATGACGTGGGATAAGAAAAATGATTTATTAATTTCCATGTCATTTTTTTATTTTATTAATTAAAAGTAAAACAAATTAAAACAATGTTAAATATTTAATATAATATTATATAATTAAAATACAGAAATTAAAATGTTTTGAAGGGAGCAGTGAGAAGCCATCAATGAATTTCTCTCTTGCTCATCATCTCCACCAACCAAAGTCATATTAGATTTCACACTACAAAACTCCCTGTGGCTCAACATCAAATTTTTCAATATGGCAGTATCGATATCACATATCTCAGCTTCACAAAAGCTTTCACTTCATCAAAATCATTCACTTCTTCAGAATCATTAACTTCATGGCTAGAATTCACAGGCACCATATCATCATCCTCAACAATTTTATCAAGAAAGAAATCCTCATCATCTAAAACCTTTTGGATTTATTTGGATTCCGTCAACTAAAACCTTAACCCTTCCCCTAAATCTAACATAAACCAGACAAAATTTGACCGAAAAACAAGATCTGATAATCCCAAATTTCTCCTTTCAGAAATCTTAATCTTGATGTTTAAGCTAAATCTAAGATCCAAATTAAAATTTTCAAATTTTTTGCTTCTTTAAAGTCTTATCAATCATTTTAACAATTCTTCCTATTCTTTTATCGAAACAATAAGTTTTATCAAAGTCATTTTAAATTCCAATAAGATATTTCATTCTCTCTTATGCCTCTTCCAAACACCCTCAGTTGGACCTAAATTAGAGATTGATTGTTGTATTGTTATATTATGTAGTATTACTACTATGAATTTTTTTTCAATTTTTATGCTAAAATTTAAATGTGCCATAAATATATATAGATATAAACAAAAACAAATACTTAAGCATTTGCAACAAAAAAAAAATGTTTTCTTACCGTATTGTGAAATTTCAGAAATTTTATGCAAATAACCTTTTTCGATTTTATTTTCTTAATAATAATCATTTTCACCTTCTTTTTTTTTAAGTAAACCAACTTTTAATTGGCAACTGCATTTGATATAGTCAATCCACGAATGCATAGAGATGCATGCATTTCATAAAGATGTCGACAATTGAATTAGCACCTCCATTTAGCACCTCCATTTGTACACTGTTGTCGCCAATTCAATTGGCGACATTTGTTATAAAATGCATGCAGCCACCAATGTGAATTGGTGACACCTCTTCGTTCAATTTTTTTTTTTGTTTAAAAGTGAGTTACTTTGGAAAATAGGTAGAAATGATGGTTAGTATTAGAAAATATTGAAAACGATGATTATTTGTATAAAATTTTCTGAAATTTCCGTTACCATTAACATAGGTCCGTTTATCTATTATATCCATGTCTCTGGTTCAATTTGCGTTCTTCTTAATAGTTTTATCAACCATTTTGAAATGGTATAGCTACATTCAATTATAAAAGGAGTTAGTCTAGATATGTGCATTTTCAAAGATTGAGTGTAGGAAACATTGAAGAAAAATCAGAAAAATATGGATGTTTCATGGTCATTGCCTCTAAAGTACCTCCGTATACGCTTACACCTACGGATCTTATGTCACTCTCTGACATTTTAGTTATATTAGACAAATCATCTCCAGAGTTTCTTCAATCTTTCGTATTATTGGTTGTGCTAGAAGTGATAAAAGAACAATTGGATAAGAAGCAAATGGAAAAGAATCACTTTTTTTGTTAAATGCATCTAACCATAAATCATTATACGCTCAACTAACTTTTAACCAAAATCAATTCTACCAAATTCTGTTCTCACCACCACATAACCAAATACATAGTGTGGCAGGGATATGCAACATAATGCAAAGGCAAGAATTATCAAAATGCTGTTATTCATCAGAAAGCTCATCATAATAAAAATCATTACCAGCATTCTCATCAACCAAATATTTTGTTTTGGTTCTCGACGATTTGCTAGATTTCAAAGGTTTCTTGACTTTTTCTGCCTGCAACTCCAACACCTTCTCTGATGGTTTCCGCTTTCTTTTAATTCGTGTTCCCGCAGCATCATCTGTAAATAGTGTTGAAGTAAAAATGTCACAAATGCAAACACTACAGTAATGTTTTCTTAAATAACAGAATCAATATATTTGATTAGAGAGATGAAAATTCGAGAATACGGGGAAGAAAACTTAAGCCTGTAAAAAGGCCTCAAAAAGTTATTTAATAGTTAATTTAAAAAATTGGATTTCTTAGGAATGCAAATACTCAGTAACAAGCATATTTTGCATTGCGTGTCGATATTCATTACCTTCCACTGGACTTGAGGCATGATTCATCATATGTTCATTTGTAACAGCCTCTTCTGAAAATGGGGATCCAGAGTTATTGCTGTCCACCACCTTTGAAGAACTTTCTAAGAACTTATCTTGCTGTTCATGAACATCAGGTATGGGAGATACTGGTAGGAAACATAATTCTTCTTGGGACATATCAGAGTCACTGAAATTAGGATCCTTCTCCACTGTCATAATGTCAACTTTGTCATCTTCATTGACATCAGATCCTTTTGGCTGCAAGAATATGAACTTTAGATCAAAAAATGGAAAAAGAAAGAATAATAAGACTTGCATGACCATATAAATCTCACATACCTTCTCAGTCTCAGGATTCAAATCAAATTCATCTTCTCGTTCCACGTACTCCTCATTTTCCTCAAGCTCTTTGAAATCAGGAGCAAAAGCGCTCCAGTTCTCGGTGTAATCTTTAGCCCAGATAAAAACTATGCCATTCAAAGAAACAGATACAACAATAGGACGTACAGGATGCCATGCTAAATCAATAAGGGCTTCCTTAGGCCCTTCAAGGATTTTCACAAGATGTCCAGCTCTATCCCATATGTAAATCTTATGCTCTCCTTTGCTAGCAGAACCACCAACAACCCACTCACCATCACCACTGAAACAGGGTGCTTTCCAGTGCACCTTTGTTATTGCGTCTTGAAACTCTCGAAATAAAGTTAAACATCTTGATCCTATGGCCTTCAACTTCTCAACACCATTTAGATCACCGAAGCTCTTATTCAGTTCATCTAGTACTCTAACTTCATCTTTCAAAGGAAGAAGATTTTCATAGATCCTTATTACTCTGTCATTAGAGTTTGTTAGAAGATACTGTCCGTTCCTGCTGAATACAATGCTCTTCACTACTGAACCACCAGAGATGGGAACCATGCCACGCACCTCACCGTCTTTACTGTCAATTACAAGAATTTCCCCTTTAGAGTTTCCCACATAAACCAGGTTTCCATACTTACTAAAACACGCGGCAGTAGGTGTAAAGGAGGTACTTCCATCAGAACTCTTATTGCGGGAGGCAGGGTTTGGTCCATTTGGTTTCTCAGAGACAGAAACTTTAAGAAAAGTTGTATCTTCAGTGTTTAAGTCAATAATCATCGGAGTACATGAGAGAGGACACGCCAAGCAGAGTTTGGAGGACCCTGGATGAAGACGAGCTTGTAAAGGGGTTTGCTGTAAAACTATTCTTCTTATCCTCTTACCACTCAAAACATCCCACAGGGATAACGACTTGTCAGCAGCAGATACAAGAATTCGATTACCACACTTTGACCAACAAATACTGGTAATGGGAGAAGAACATTCACTGTCTCGAAGCTCTTTAGCAACACCCCTGGTTAAAAAATCCCAAATAACACAACTTCCATCATTGCAGCCAGCTGATTCAATTGATCAAATAAAGTATCAAGAGTGCGAAGTTGATAACGTGTAATATCACCAATGAATAATTGATAAAAGTACAATATAATTTTATCCAATCCACACATTCAAATGCAGATATAATCCTATATGCTCCAAAAAGAGGAACTGCAATATAAACCAGAAAGAAATACCCTAGTAATACCTCCTGAAATCTAATCCCACAAGGAGAGGAAAATGGTTGTGTGAATAAAGTATATTCAGAAAGCTTTTAATGGTAAATACTAGAAGAATGAGAAGAATATATAAATGTTACAGCTAGCACACATTTACCCTCACAAGGATAAGAAGAATGGACATTTTGAAGCATGAATTCAAAATTATAAGGCTGTGCGTAATAAAGTAGAGGATGAAACAAGAGAGTGAGAACATGGAACCCAGTTCATGATCTCCCAAAAGAGTTTAATGCACTATAACCACTTGCATAGTTACAAGTTGAAGGGTTCTGAGATATTTAGCAAATACTAAAGTTGAAGTTAACCATGATACAAGGAACAATTTCTCAAATGCAAATAAAACACTTTTGTTCCTAATGTTTTCTTTATTCTATTCCTCAGTTTTTTTCCCAAAATATTTCCTCCGTTTATGTAAGCTTTTATTTGTGTGCAACATGTTTTATTTTATAGCGTCATTTCATATTTTTATATATGATTATTTATTTCAACTACCTTGCAGCTTCTGCTATTTTCCTGCTATACTATTCACTATTTCTTATATGTCTGATTTTAGATTTTCAGCTATTTTCTGCCTATTAATATGTCAAAATCAATCTAGACATGCTGCTTCAGGGTCTGCCATTTTCAAAGTTCCAGTTTGGATCCCTGTGATTTTGTGATCAAATATAGACTTATATGGTATCCAGAGAATCTGAACGACAGTTTTGTGATCAAATACTGACTTATATTATATGGTAGATAGAGAAACTAAAAGATGCTGGAAATGTAGCCAGTTCCTTACACAGTGCCTTACATATACAAAATCGCAAATTAAATAGCCGAACATTCTAAAGTTCTATGCAATCAATGGCAGATTGAGGAATGTATAGACAACCCCAAAAATGCTATAGTGGTATAGTGGGCAGCAGCAGGGTCAGCCCAATCCTAAAGCCACTAAAGCTAGGATTGCAAACAAAAATATACTTCCAAAATAGTGGAATGTGTCTTGCAAATGAAATCTCAAAAATAGAAGAATACACAAAATTAAAGACTCATAACTAATAATCAAAGTTTATTATTATCAATATTCAAACTCAATATAAAGACATACATTTTAGGGTGAAAGGACCGAAAAGTCCAAATACAAAGCGTGAATGGGATAAGTCCGTGTTATCGATGGCAGAAGGCGAACCATGGCAAAGAGCCAAAAACCTGTCATTAAGCCCAACATATGGCACCACCATACTCCACAAATTTACCATACTTGGGTTTTTAGAAGTACTTCACTGTAGCAACTAGCAACTGCAGCAACAGCTATTTGTCTGCTCTACTATTTTGCTGGTACAGCCTCTACTTATTTACTACAGAACTATAGTCCAACAAACAACATCATTCACAGTATTTCACCATAACCCAAGCAAACAAATTACCATGTGACTAAGCATCTCTTACATACAGAGTAAGCTTACATTCTCCACGCACAAATTACCGGCTGCTCTATTTGCTAAAACAGAAAACAAAAATACACTAAGCATTAACTTCCAAATCAAATCAAGTTGCTAGAACGTAAACACAGACTCCAATCATCAATGTTAGAACCATTATTATTATAGCGGAATGCGGAAAATAGAGGATTAGCAGAAATCCGATATGAAAATAGCAGATAGCGCAGAGGGTAAAAAGCGGAAGCCGCAAAGCAATCGAAATATAAATAATTGTATTTAAAATAAAGCATGGTGTACACACAAAAAAGCTGCATGAACATAAATTGAAGAAAAAAAAAGTAACTGACATAACTAAAAATCTCAATATTTCTAACAACCAATGACTTAACTAAAAATCTCAATATCTCAAACAACTAATGACTTTGTAAATAAACCAGCATTATTTAAACAAGAAAAAAAGAGGGTAAGTGATAGTTAGTTACCAGCAAGAAGGGTACCACGACGGTTGAAAGCAATACATTTCATAATCCCATGTTCCAGTTCCAGATACTCCTCTATCACTTCAGGGAAATCTCCCTGCAACGGATCTTCAATACGGGACAGCATAATTAAATGTTACAAGTTAGAATAAGAGCAATATAAACTAAAAATTGACATGAACATTAGGGTAATAATTGAATGCAACTTGATGAAATTCAAAAGCTGTGCCCTAATAATGAGTAGATAGAGAAATTGGAAGAATAGTAGAAAAGTAACCGATGATAGATGCGTTCATTGTTTTCAATAGAAGCTTCAAGAGGATGATGACAAAGTTGGTACGACCAAAAGCGAAAGCTATTGAGAGCAAGCGGTAGAGGAATGGGGTAACTGGTCACAAACAACATCACTCTCTCGCTCATGGTTTACTTTTGAGAATTAAAGTTTTCCCCTAATTTTTCTTATTCTTTTTTTTTTTTTTTCATTTTGTACTAAATTAAAACATTTCTTTAAATATTTATTTGTGTATGAATGTGTACAATGTTGGTATTTAATTTTGTTTTTATGATAAATTTAATTAATTTTAATTATTTATTATTATTAAAAATATTAATTAATCTATTTTTAAATTTTAATGAAATTAAAAATTTATTTTATGAAATTAAATAATACTTAATAATTATATATACAATTAACTTTTTATTTACTAAATCACTGTAAAAAAAATATTTTTTATTTTAATTAATAATTTTCATTATTTGAAATACAATATTTTTATTTTTAAATGTTAAAATTTCTCTTTTTTTCACATATCACTATCAATAACATATCTATTTTAAAAAATTATCTTTATTCGAGAAACAAATTTCTTATTTTTAAATGTCAAAGTTTTTTTTTTTTTTTTGTTATGAGTCAATCACTATCAACAAAATATATATTTTATTTTTATTATTTGAAATACAATATTTTTATTTTTAAATATCAAAATTTCTCTTTTTTTCACAAATCACTATCAACAACATACCTATTTTAAAAAATTATCTTTATTCGAGACACAAATTTTTTATTTTTAAATGTCAAAGTTTCTTTTTTTTCTTCTTATGAGTCGATCACTATCAACAAAATATATTTTTTATTTTAATTAATAATTTTCATTATTTAAAATATAATATTTTTATTTTCAAATGTCAAAATTTCTCTTTGTTTCACAGATCACACTATCAACAACATACCTATTTTAAAAAATTATCTTTATTCGAAACACAAATTTCTTATTTTTAAATGTTAAAGTTTCTTTTTTTTTCTTATGAGTCGATCACTATCAACAAAATATATATTTTATTTTAATTAATAATTTATTATTTGAAATACAATATTTTTATTTTTAAATGTCAAAGTTTCTTTTTTTTCTTATGAGTCGATCACTATCAAGAAAATATATATTTTATTTTAATTAATAATTTTCTTTATTTGAGACAAAATTTAAAAAATATATATTTTATTTTAATTAAGAATTTTCATTATTTGAAATACAATATTCTTATTTTCAAATGTCAAAATTTCTCTTTTTTTCACATATCACTATCAATAAAATATCTATTTTAAAAAATTATCTTTATTCGAGACACAAATTTCTTATTTTTAAATGTCAAAATTTCTTTTTTTTTCTTATGAGTCTATCACTATCAGCAAGATATATATTTTATTTTAATTAATAATTTTGTTTATTTGAGACACAAAAATTTTATTTTCATGTGTTAAAGTTTCTCTTTTTCTCACGAGACACTATCAGCAAAATACATATTTTATTTTAACTAACAATTGCTTTATTTGAGACACAAAATTTTTATTTTCAAATGTCAAAATTTTCTCTTTTTCTCAAGGGCCACTATTAGTAAAATACCTATTTAATTTTAATTAATAATTGTCTTTATTTGAGACACAAAATTCTTATTTTTCAAATATCAATTTTTTTTTCCTTTCTTCATTTCACGAGCCTTTTTTTCTTTTAGTATGATTATTTAACATAATTGAGTTTATATTATCATTATTCATTTTATAATTAAAAAATTCATTTCAAATTTACATGTATATCTAAATAAAATCTATATCGTATTAAATAAATTCACCAGTTCCGCATGGATATTTTGCTAGTTTATAAGAAAAAATTTAATATTCACGCTTTTTCAATCGTGTTTATGGCTTAAGATTGAAAAGATTCAAATGTGAGTAGTGAGAAATTCATTGTGCGTGAAAAGTGAGACAGTGAGTTTTGAAATTTGTTTTAATCACATAATCATTTAAAAAAATGATGATATAGGAGGTGTCAGAATATGATTTAATTTTATCTAAAAAAACAACTCTCAAAGGTTACACAAATATTTTTTATAGTTGTAAGAATATATATGACAAATGTCACACTTCTTTGCGTTAACAAAAAGCTTGTTTAAACCTATCAATATAGTTTAAAGTCCATAAGACAGAAAACTCCTAGAGGGATTCTGACTTAGGATCTTTTGAACCAGCGAACCTTCTCACTTTAGAGGACTAATTGGTTCAGAGTCAAATATTCCAGAATTTCATATTAAACATCTAGAGGCTATACAATATGAGATTTTGGACTTAACGGTTAAAGACCCTGTGTCAAAGGACCTTTTAGATTCGTGACACATATGTGGACAGATGTCAAAGGAAGAAGTTGAAAAATCTTTCCACTTATATGCTATCAGATGCAACTAATCAGGTTTTAATCATCAGAGGCTACTATACATCAGAAGCTCACTCAGAGCCTTTGAACATAGTGACTTCTGATCACCATGAGACTATGATCCTCTATTCAGAAGCAAGTACTATTCTTTTATAAAATGCATGTTAAGATTCTTTTTAATAAAATCAAATCTTTCTATAGTAAGAGGCTTAGTAAATATATCAGCCCATTAATGATCAATGTCAGTGAAACATATATCTATTACACCTTTTTGAACATAATCTCTAATAAAATGGTGTTTTATTTCTATGTGCTTGATTCTATAATGTTAAACATGATTCTTTGTCAAACAGATAGCAGCAGTATTATCACAGAAAATTGGAATATTGCTTCCACTAATTTGATAGTCTTCCAACTGATATTTCATCCAGAATAGTTGTGCGTAATAACTAGAAGCTGAGATGTATTCAGCTCCTGTTGTAGACAGAAATAATTGTTTGTCTCTTATTAGCCCAAGATATAAGGTTTTCACCTATGAATTGACAATTTTCTCTAGTGGATTTTCTCACAATTGTATCCCCAATATAGCCAACATCACATAATCCAACTAGCCTGTAATCTAGGGATTTTTATAAAGCAGTCCCATATTAGTTGTTCCTTTCATATACCTAAAGATTCTCTTAACAACATTTAAATGAGTTTCTTTAGGATCTGACTGAAACCTTGCATACAAACAGACACAAAATTAAATATCAGGTCTAAAAGTTGTTAAGTAAAGTAAAGAACCAATCATACACATGTACAACTTCTGACGGACTTTAGTGTTGCTTCTCTCTTTGCTCAGATTGTAGGTAGGGTGCATAGGAGTAGCCATGATCCTACAATCTTCTAGCTTGGAATTTCTTCAAAAGCTCTTGTGTACTTTGTTTGATGAATATATACACCATCCTTGCACTGGTTGATTTGAATCCCAAGAATTAACTTCAGTTTTTTCATCATGCTCATTTCAAATTACGCATACATTAACTCAGAAAATTCTTTGCAAAGAGTAGCATTAGTAGAACCAAAAATTATATCATCAACATAGACTTGGATAATTAAGATTTCATTTTTCAGTGTCTTTCTGAACAGTGTAGTATCAACCTGGCCATTTTGAAAACCATTTTTTAATAAGAAATTACTTAGTCTCTCATACCAAGCTCTAGGATCTTGTTTAAGACCATGGAGTGATTTCTTAAGTTTAAAAACATATTATGGATAGACTGAATCCTCAAACCCATGTGGTTGTTTTACATACACTTCTTCCTAAATGACACCATTTAAAAATCCACTCTTAACATCCATTTGATACCAAAAAAAATATCATGATTAACATCATAAGATAGAAGTAACTTGATTGTCTCTAACCTTGCAACAGGTGCAAAGGTTGTAGAGAAATCAATAACTTTTTACTAATCGTAGCCTTGTGCTACAAGTCTAACATTATTTCTTACCACAACACCTTTTTCATTGAGTTTGTTTCTGAACATCCATTTTGTTCCAATGATCTTCTTCTAATGAGGTTTGGGTACCAGATCCCAGACATCATTCCTTTGAAGTTAGTTCAGCTTTTCTTGCATAGCCATAATCCATCCATCATGTGATAAAGCTTCATCAACAGAAGTAGGCTCAATCATGGAAATGAGTCCTAACATTGAATGTTCTTCTCTGAATGCATCTTATCTTTAGAGGATTATCTTTGTTTCCAGTGATAAGCTCTTATGGTCTAACTTTGTTTCCAGTGATCAACTATTTTGGATGTGAAGCCTTATATTTATAGGTCATCTTGGATTGAGTTGCTTCTCGGGAGCCATCATGAGCTTCTTCAGAAGTTTCATCATCTAGATGAGCTTCAGAGTATGAACCAACTTTTGGGCCAACAACTTTTGAAAGGTTGATAACTTCTGAACCACTTGCTTTTGATGATCTGATAGCTTATGATGTGTCTTCAGATACTTGAATTTCTGCAAAACTTTCAATTAGCACTAACTTTTTATTGTCAGGCTCTTTGTCATCAAATTTGATGTGTATTAACTCTTCAACCATTCTGGTTTTAGAGTTATACACCGTGTATGCCTTTGAGCGCTTAGAGTATCCTAAGAAGATACCCTTTTGAGCTTTGACATCAAATTTCTTTAGATATACCTTATTTTTTAAGGTGTAACATGTACATCCAAATTGGTGAAAATAATAAATATTTGGCCTTCTTCCTTTAAACAGTTCATATGAAGTTTTGTTCAAAATTGGTTTGATGTAGATTATGTTCTGAACATAACATGTTGTGTTTATAGATTCTGCCAGCGAGTATTTAGGTAAAAAAATTCATGAATCATGGTTATGGTCATTTCTTATAAAGATTTGTTCTTTCTATCTACAACTCCATTTTGTTGTGAAGTTTTATAGGAGAAGAGAACTCATGGAGAATTTCATATTTTTCACAAAAGTTTTCAAATGGCTCATTTTCAAATTCTCCTTCATGATCACTTCTAACTTTTAATTGTTTTTTATTCTTTTTCATTTTGTACTTGAATACATAAGATGTTAAACACGTC